TTGTAAATTAATAAGTCATAATGAAAATTGATCATAATTTAAAAATATTAGATCATGCTAAAATAGGTCTAATATATATTAATTACATGATTAAACATTAAAGAAAAATTAAAATTAGGTTATGTATTTTAAATGTCTAAAACGAATGTAAAACTAAAAAATAAATATTCAGCATTATTGTTATTCTTAGTCAGTGGCGGACAACTCCCTTTGACAGAATATTATTTTTATATGATTAAAATAATTTTTAGGTATATATAGTAGATGTCGAACCTCCTTCAGCTACTTTCATGTGTCTGTTTCTTTGGATTTTAAATCCCTTAGCGTTGATTAGTTTTTTTGGTTAGTATTATTGACCGGTAAACTTAAGTATAATTTCGTGGATTTTCTCTACAAAGTATATATAAACGCGTGGGCTCCACTAACTTGTACCTAAGAACTCTTCGTGCATACCAATTTCATAGAATTGGTCAAAATTTAGTAAGGAATATACATTATTACTTACAAGTTGAGAATTCTCGAAAAAATGAAATGATCAATCGTATCCACAAAAAGAAAATATATTAAAAAAATAAACTAACAAAAATTAGATAGCGCATTTTCCTCCTAATATTTTCCTATATATATATATATATATATTCAAGTAACCCCTTCATCTCAAGAAGAAGCATTATTTTCCTTGAGTTGATCATCAAGGAAAATTTATCATATCCTATAAGAAAGGGAAAAGAATAGAAATGACTTGTATTATGAGATCATGTTTCATTCTTTTCTTTGTTAGCATGGTTTTTCTCCAAGGCACTACTCTAGGTAGGTATTTCATAATAAAAAAGGTCTTGTGTGTGTTTTTTTTTTATTAGTTTGAATCTACAGAATGTTTTTGTTCAGGGAGTTTTATCTGTGAGGATTTGGCAACAAATGTTTGTGGATTTGCGATTTCGACATCAGGCAAACGGTGTTTGTTGGAAAATTCATCAGGTAAGGATGGGAAAGTGGAGTACCAATGCAAGACATCTGAGGTGGTTGTTGCAAACATGAGGGAACACATTGAGACAGAGGAATGTGTCGATGCTTGTGGCGTCGATAGAAACACTGTTGGAATCTCTTCTGATGCTCTGCTTGATTCACAATTTACCTCAAAACTTTGTTCCCTTGATTGTTACCATCATTGTCCCAACATAATAGACCTTTACTTCAACTTAGCTGCTGGTGAAGGTACGTAACAACGTTTTATTTTAAACATTGACTAGTTATTTTGATTTAAATCAATTTCGCCATTCTTCAGGTGTGTATTTGCCTGATTTATGCAACAAACAGAGGACGAATCCACATCGTGCCATAATTGAGTTATCGAGCAATGGAGGTCCAATCGAAGATGCTCCAGCTCCATCCCCTCTTTCTTTCTTAATTTGAAAACTACAACATACTGCACACACTTTTCTTTTCTTTTTTTCCAATTATATTGTCAATGTTGTGTTTTTAATTGGTGAAAAAGAAGGATGTGAGGGGAATTACTAATTAATTCCCTTGAATTTGTAATCTACAGCAAAATCCGAATGAATATTATTCTATTGGGATTGCATCAATTCTCTCTTTTTATACTTTTTTCCTAGTTGTTTCATGTTTACTATCAAAAATTTTGGGACAATCGAATCCTGCAAAATGAAATTTTCCCTTGGGGGTATTTCAAAATGAGAAACTTTCACATGTAGCAACTCAAAAATAACTTAATTACGCTTCATAACTACAGTTTGCTAATTATGATTCCTAGCTCTATGTTATAGAGAGATGAGTGTCGACCGAGATTGGGAGAGGGTGGAAAGAGGCGACTGGGAGAGGACAGAGAGACGAATTGTATATGTATATTTGTCGAATTGCATGTATATGCATATCTATTAAATAATTGTGTGTGTATATATATATATATATATATATATATATATATATGAAGCATTTTTAATTAACACAACATGATCTTTCTTTAAACACGTCCAGGGCGGCTATACAAGCTTAAGAAAAAAAAGCAGTTGTCTTTATGCCTTATTTTTCTAATCAATGATAGGTTATAACTTATAAGTATTTTCTTTAAAAAAAAGTTAAGTATGATTCAACGAAATTTTGAACTTCTCAAATAAAAAGACAGAGTTATTACTAGTTTGACAAATTGATTAGCAATAATAAACTACATTTAAAAATAAAACAAAATTTAACGTTTCTATTGAAATTTGGCTTAATTAAGCCACTAATATAATTAAGCAGCCTTCGAACATGTGACCATGCACTCACAAGTAATCAAATATAGATTGCACACTTTTCATTCATCACATAAATCATTAAATCTGAACTATATATACATGACCCCGTCATCTTTTTCTAGGTCACTAGGTTGTGAACATTTAAATATCTTGTGTCAATAGTAAAGTAGTAACATTTTGCAATATTGGCCCAACCCTTTCTTTTGGGGCAACCATCACATTCTCATGTTAGCCCAACCTTTCCTTTTGGGTCACAACAACACTAATTGGCATATCAACTCAATCAAGAGACATCAACAAGTAGCAGCCAAACACCATCAACATAATTATCATTATAACATAAAGTTACCATACAAGTCATATGTATGAAACAATGAAGAGACTAATTTCAAATATTTTACATTTAAGATATCGAGTCACTTAACATTAAACAATTCAAAGATCTGAAATTGTCCAAGCACATCATTACAATATTTACGTCGTAGGTTGCACGCATAGTTACTATTCAATTCAATTTATTTTGATAAGACATCGTACGGTGAGTCAAACACCCACTCGTCTCCACAAGCACTTAAATGTAAAAATATTATATTTAATCGCTTTTAAGCGCATATAATCACATATTTTTTTCAATTTAACATCATTAATATATCATACTCATATAGGTGGATGATAATGCACATGTATCCGTTAACTTTGAAAAAAATCATTTGTATATATTAGGACCACAAGTTTAAAAAGCAATTTGGTACATTTGACATAACTTTAATTTAGAACCACAAGTCTTATTTCTTTTTTTAAACACCGTTCCAAGTCAAATTAGATCATTCTTTTTTAAAGAAGTGAGTATTATCAAGGAATAAAAAAAAAAGAGAAATGACCATAAAATTTGGCCAGAAAATTTTAAAAATTATAATATCTTTTTTATTTTAAAATAAATTTATTTTTTTCTATTTTTTTAGTAAAAGATATTAAAGATAAATGGATAAAAATATTTTTTAAAAAGTAAAATTATATAGAAAAAATCTCATTATGACTAAATTCTGGCCAAAATGATTTCTTCTTTAAAAAAAAATCTTGTATTTTTCAAAAAAAAATATAATTAAAGAATAAAACATGAAAGGTCGATGGTTGGCGATAAATTATGATTGTCATCACTCACCTCCAACTCCAATAATAGATATAGTTTTTTTTAAAAAAAAAAGAGGAAAAGAAAAATAACAAGAAAAAAAGTACATTATTTAATTTGCCTGCTTGAATTTAATCTTATCACAACAACCATTCCGTGTGTAAATGGTATAAAAATGGAAAACCACAAAACACATCATTAATTTTATTTTAAATTCTATATTTTCTGTGTGTTTTTTCAAGCACCAAAAATATTTTCTGCTGAAATGAAAGTAATATCTTGCGGTCGGTAAGGAAAATGTTTTCGAAAAATAATTTAAAAAAAATATATATGAGAATGAATTTACTTGCTTATTTTTTAGTGTCTGGTATGTAATTAAAAATATATTATCTCGATAATATTTGTACAATGTTGCAAAATATTATAAGATGGGTTGGGAGTGGGGTGACGGTGTGGAATGAAGTGGGCGTTGTATGTGTTGGGTGCACCAAGAAGAGGAGACAATGAACTTGAAATATCATTTATGAAATTAATTTTTTAAACTAAAAGCTATTTTTCTCAATTTTTACGGTATATTTTTTCGAAAAAAATATTTTATAAAACATTTTGATCCACCAAACATGGAAAAAATAAAAAAATATTTTGACCACTAGGTCATACCTTCACACCCTTGGGTATGACTTAATAGTCGGAAATTGAGTTAAAAATCATAAGATCTTTGTTTAAATTTCATCATGGACAAAAATACATAGTGATTTCTTTTCATTTGTCCTAAATTTGATGGACCAAACTAATTATTTGATATCTATTGTTGATGAAAGATAACAAATATCTCATGAAATAGTCAAAATATGCGAAAATTGACTTGAACATAACAGCTACTCAATGCGTTTCCATAAGTAAAATCTGAAAAATAAAATAAAATATCCACAAACTTTATCTCTATTTTCAAAACTACAAAAATAATTCTCAATAAATCCTTACACGCTATTTTTTATAAAAATTAAATGAAGTACTTTTTCTTCGCTAGCTAAACTTCATTCAATCCAAACCTAAGAATTGTCACGAGAACAATTGGTAACAAGCCAATGCTATTTATTCCTTACTGAAATAGGGAGGCAACATTGTTATTTTGACCTACAAATACTATCTTAAAATAAATTGAAACTTTTTAACTATGAATACATTTCTTGATTTAGATGCACTAGTTAATGTTAAAACAGTTTTTCATTGTATATAGAATAGGGAAACAAGAAGGAAAAAGAATTGAGGAAAATGAAATAAGTTATTTCAGAAATTGCTATTCCATTTTTCATATGAAATAAGTTATTTGATAATTTTACGAAACTAGCCCATACCTATAATACTGTGGTTATGTCCATTGAATACTCACGTTTCAGTAAGAATGTGAACTCAAAAAGTCATATTTTGGTAAGACTTACTTTGTCAGTTTCAGAATATCGACTCATGTGACCAAGTTTCAGATTTCAGTATTTTTTTTTAAATAAAAATAAAAAAACTTATTGTTGATTTCAGAAAAAATAACTTGTTCCCAATCAAATATATATGTATTTTAAACTCCACCAACTACTGTATAATCACACATCATATCTCACTATCCTCTCTGGGGTTAGGGCCCCTGTCTCACTGCTATTAGAACAGAACCATGACCCTTTCGCTTTTTGCGTTATTTCTTCGTTTCCCTCTCTCTTTGCACTTTTTACTAAACTCTCTCTATTCTTCTCTCTGTTTTGTTTTTTTTATACTGAATTTAAGATGTTTTGAGTTAATAAATCACCAAATTCATCACCCCACTTCGTTAAATTCTTCATATCTATAGATGCAGTAGCTTCAACTCATGCAGTGTATCATAAAAATCAAATCTTTCAAGTTCCAAGACTTAAGCTTTTTCAAATGGATTAATGAATTTTCTGTTTCTGGGTCATTGAAATGGAAAGATTAGAGGTACCCCAGGTGGAGTTAGACTGCTCCGGTAACAGTCTCCGGAGCTCCGTTAGTGTCAGTTTTTCCGATGCCGACAAGGGTTCTTGTTATTCTCAGTTTTGTTCCACTGCTGATGGAGATGATTATAGCTGTCCACGTGGCAGTGAGTCTGCTGATTCAATTGGTATAGAAATTGGAAATGATGAAAGCAAGGGGTATTTAGGGGAAACTGAAAGAGATTGTAGGATTTGTCACTTGGGTTTGGTGAGCTGTGGAAATGAGTATGGGGTTGCTATTGAATTGGGATGTTCATGTAAAGATGATTTGGCTGCTGCACATAAGCATTGTGCTGAAACATGGTTCAAAATCAAGGGAAATAAGTAAGTAAAAACCAAATCTTGAATTTTTGTTGTTGTTGATTTGGTGAATATTGAACTTACGATGCCTATATAATCAATGTGACCTTTTAAGATGATTTTTTTAAAAAAAATTCATCCCCATCTCGTAAACATATAATGGAGCTCGATTAAATCTGGATTCATGTCAGGAAGTCCTCCCTGAGACCTTTGGTTAAGTAGGAAGAAATGTTCTGCATATTAGATGTGATGATTGACATCTCAACATGATGTTTTTGGGCTTATGTTATGTCCAAGATTCTTTCACTTTATTAATCTTTGCAATGATATGGTTTGATGATTCTTGTGTTGGAAGTGTGTGCTTTTGATGTCAGTAAATGATCTGTAACGTTGGAAGGGTCAAGTGAGTGCTTTCGATAATCAGTGAATGTTCTGTAAGAATAATGTTTTTTTTCCCTTTCTGTTATGTCTTGTTCTTGTTGGGAAATAGATTCATGATATATTTAATGGAAAAAGAGACAAAAGTTAATTATAGAAGCTAGATGGAATAAAATGAAAAGCAAAAAGAGTAAAGCAAGGACAGGTATAATTCAGATTTGTAAGTACATTGTTGATTCTTCTTACTATGGTCTTTTATAAGCTTTTGCTCTTTAGTTTCTATTTCCTTACTGAAATTTAACACATACATTTTTTTTTATCAAACTGGAGATTGTTCTTTAGGAAGGAAGTCTTCATTTTCATTTTTCGCGTCTGTCTTCACATGCTACTTATCCCCCAAGTCCTAAAACATACATTTTTTTTATCAAACTGGAGATTGTTCTTGAGGAAGGAAGTCTTCATTATCATTTTCCGCGTCTGTCTTCACATGCTCTACTTATTCCCCAAGTCCTAAAACATTCATGGTCATCAATGGATCCAAAGAATTACTAGCAAATGTTAAGACCACATCTCTTACTTTGGATCTTCCTCCTTCCATAAATGGAGGTATTCCTTTTCTCTAACCTAACATCTTCTGCCATAACTTCTTCATTATTACTATAATTGCTAATTCGTTACGTTTTTTATAATACATTCTGGCCAGTGATTGCTGTTCAGTATGATTACAATTGATAGTTGAGGTGATGTATCATCTTCTTTCTTCGACATCCTAGTTTCTCAACTCCAGCTCTTATGATGATTGTTTGACAAGGGAGATAGTCGTCTTCCTACAAAAATGTTAAATTGTAATGACTTTTTTGCAGCTCAATACACCTCTATATTGTGGATGGTTATGAGCTTTTTTGCACTGTTTTTTTTTGTAATCTTCTTTGGTTCTTTTTAGCCATATAATCATTTGAAGTTATTTTTCCAGGAATTGTGAAATCTGCAATTCAATTGCACGCAATGTTGTTGGGCCAACTGACATTGAATCAGCACAACAAACTACTGAAATAAATGATTTAGCTACATATGTAGTCCCTTCACAAGTATCTTCCTCTTCAGAGAGGCGAACTTGTTTGAATGGTCATCGATTCTTGAATTTCCTTTTAGCCTGTATGGTATTTGCCTTTGTCATCTCTTGGCTCTTCCACTTTAATATCCCCTCATAGTACAGTGAAGAGTTCATGTACCATGTGTAAAAGCTCTCAGATGTTAAAAAGAAATATTTACACATTCTTTTCCGACTAGCTCTGCAGGGCACCTCGAGACTTATCATAACTGGGATTGGCTATAGAAGTTGAGATGTCTTCTCCACCAAGAAAACCGGAGAAATATCCAACATTTGAAAGATAAGTCTCCATTTTCAAGGATTTTGTGTAAATGTTTTACCTAATGTGGAGGTTGATAAGTTAGAAATCAGATTACATGATACGATATTTGGAGTTGTAAATTGTCAAAAAGTTTTTGTTGATAAATATATGGAACATGTCTTCTTACAAATCCACATTATTATTCACTGTGTAAACAATACCCACATTATAATCCCCATATAACTAGTAAGTGAAACAAACGATCCCAAAATGTAGTTTCACATTGGAATGAACGATGCAAGGCAGACATGGGCTATCACGTGTCAAGAATTCAAGCATTGCAACAACCAAACACTGCTAGAAGTTTCATGTGCTGTTAGTTGCAGTCTCCATGTTTTCAAGTAAAGCCTTTCAGCAAAGAGGTAATAGGCCATCCATATTGGATCTACTGACCCCATGCCACTGTTGCATGAAGGAACATTACATGCTCTTTACATTAACTGTAAGATTAAGGATCTGTCCCAGTCACTTTTGCTGGTCATTAGTCATCTGTGCTAAATCTCAAGTCAGAGAGAGCACTTCATTTTCATCCATTTTTCGCATATGACAGTACCATTCAGGTCAGCATGCGCGAGTGACTAACTTACCTAACATCTACTACATTCTACCAGTACAAGTACCAGTAACTTTATCCACCAACTTGTGAAAATAAAAATTTCTCTAAGACTTGACATATGTGAAGGATTTACTAGTGTTGTCACTCCAACTAATCAATGGCTAGACTCAAAGTATGAAAAATTAAAAGCCAGAAATTCGGGAGTACAAAACAACAATATTATCCAATGTAGGGGGGTTTGGAGGGGTAATGCGTATGAAACCTTACCCCTACCTTGTGGAGGTAGAGAGGTTACTTTTGATACACCCTCGGCTGAAGGAGGGATGCAACACAAGAACTTTGGGAGTACAAAATTAAAAAGATAATTTATCAGCTGAAGATGGAATCCATCATACATTCGATAATTTTAAACCAAAGGTAACATGGATACATGAACAACATTGACATTCAATTTGGTATTCTACGTTATAAACCAAAACTAGTGAACCTGGAGAACATTTGTCAAACCAACCTTGTAATGATATTGAACGGAAGTCTTCGGTTAGTTGCATTCCATATATTGTCTTTACACCATTCATCATTGCTCCAAGATGAACTGTGCTCCCATCTTCAATGATCTTTTCATAAATTTGGGTTATGCACATCTATACACAATTCGGAACGCTTCTCCATACCCATTCTGCAGGATCTCCAGAATTTGCATTCAGAAATTTGTGATTCTCTTCCTTAGCCTTGCTATCTTTGCTCAGTGGTAGAATCAACACTGCACTAGTACGGTCAGGCAGTTCTGGAAGAAAGTACTCAGTGGTTCAGCAAAATATTTATCCTTCCCTTCTAAGCAAAAAGAAACAAGAAAGGGGCAGAAGGAGGAAGTAGTCAAGATTAAATTCATTCAATGTGAGGATTAGGATGTTAAACCTGCCAACTGTTTGTCAACAAAGAACACTACTAGATTAACAGTGTACCTGTAACAAAGTTATAGGGGGCTCAATCAAGTCAGACAACTATTATTAGCAAACAAAAATTATAACGCAGATTTGTCAAGCTGAGAATTCCACTCACCATGCCACAACAACGTCCACTGTGTAATGTTTGCGAGATGCAACAATCAAGAAGCTCTGAGCAATAACAGCTAACCAAGCACACAGTTTTATATATCTGCAGAATCAAATTCAGCAATCACTAACAACTTGTGGCTGTCGTAAAAACACTTAACTCAAGCCTTCTTCATTTTTAGGGTATCCATTTTAAATTACAGAAAACCAAACCACAACATGTATGCCTCAGTCCCTAGCTAGTTCAGCAAGTTATTGAAAACACAAAAACATAAAAATGGAGTGAAGGAAATGAAGAAATTATAGAGTGTCCGGATTCACAGGAAACAGAACTCTTAGCTGAATATCAGACTGTTTCACCAAAACTTAATATTTAGAGTATACAACTGCATATACTACCTTCTTGCCCCGTATTTATGATATGTCCGCACAAAGATTAGAGAGAATATCATATGAGATGAAAATATCAGATCACCACAACCGTAAAGCATGCCCCTAGGAACTGCACATTTATAGACACAACATAAGTTGCATTGTAACGAGAACAACTCACTAAATACAGTGAGAGAAGGCAAAATATATCTCACAATTAATCAATAGAACTTCTAAAACACTATTTGGAGGAGGCAATGTGGCAAGCTTTGATCCCTGCAATATCAGAAGATAGACAGTTCACGTAACACACAGCACATAGGCAACAGAGAAGTGCAAACTGGCACATCAATTATCAACCGAATGAGACAAGTCTTTACCTCACGACAGTGATAATTTGGACCAGGAAGTTGTGTAGAGTAGAATGTGATGATCCGAAGGAACTGACAAGCCTGTAGTAAACAGTCATTCAACAACTTAGCAGATCATATTGGATATTATGACTTCTCTCTAAATGTTGTGTAGCCCTACGGAGAAATAATGAAGCATTCAGGAAGAGAATAAAGTTATCTTTGCCAACATTTAAACTGAATGTAGAAATGATGAGATTCCATCGAGACTTCTCTTCTTTTTTTCTTTGATAAGTAGAAACTAATTGGGACTTTCACATATGAAACAACACAAGAACGACCCTCAAGAGAACTGGTCACTTACAGCTAAGAAAGCCAAGACCCTGCACCATATCAGAACTGTATAGATCTTTTTGATCTTGAAAATGAAAGGATGGAATGTCCACTGCGGAATAACATGAGTTATAACAAGATAATATAATATCAAAACCTAAATGTCAAATAAACTGAAAATTCCAATAGACTAAAAGCTCCAAAATCAGTTGGAAGTTATGGAAATATTCCACAGCAGGAATCAACATTAGTTGGTGACTGAAAATTACCAAAATCAACTCACCAAGACAAAAGACAGAAAGAGGGTGGTGAATACAGTTTCACTTATATAACCTTTATCTTGCCCAAGCTCCTGGAGTTTTCGTTTAAAAGAACAAGAAAGAAAAAAGAAGAATATGAGTGAGCATCTCCCTAGAGAGGGGAGATAAAGAGAACCAACAACCAATAAAACCAACCGGAAGAAGAAAGAAGCCGACATCCTGAAGAGTACGTCCAGGCCGATGTATGTAGTGAACCCCTCGAGCAGCGAATCCATGTATGTACTGACAATAGGTGAGACATTTTACAACTTGGTAGATCTAATAAGCACTATGATCGTGAAAACAACTAAAGGGAAATGATGTATCAAATATGACAATGACAACAACAGCAAATTATGTAAAAAGAACACAAATAAATTGCATCATTCAACAAGAGTTGAAAGAAAATGCAAAATTCGATTGCTCAAACTTCCACTTCTCCTCCCTGCCCCAAGACACAATAAAGAAAACAGAAAGTACCAAATAAAGAAACTGTCGACTAGACAAATATTCAGATTTTTTAAAAAATTATTAAGTTTAAACCTGAACTTGTATATTTCTTTAAAGAAAAAAAGCCATAATTTTGCACATAAGTTTCAAAATTTAATCAAGTCACAGACTATGATCAAGGACTCTTAACATCATCAACTAAAAGCAACTACACAAAATAGTCTCTCAGCTTCTATACTCGCAGAAATATTATGCCACAAATTTTTCTGTGTCAAGTCAAAATACGTCACATGAATTGAAATAGAGTGAGTAATTCTTTTCCGTGTCACAAACCTTACACACAACAAAAGCTACACTACCAAACTGCCTCTATCTCAGATACATGAATCATCGAATATTCATTCCACGCCCCAAACTCAGAAAATAAAAGGTTGAACCTGAAATATCAAACCTCCAAGAATATACTTCCATTTCTCTGAAAGAAGATTGATTTCTATTCCACTCTCCGTACAAATCCTCTTCCATATCTAACAACACCACAAAAAATCAAGAGCAAGAAAGTAAAAAAGGAGTTGTAAACTTGCATAAAGTGAATAAATAAAAAACAAACCTTTGAAGCCTCTCGACCAATGTAAAACGACATCGTTGTGACCCGTTAACTGCGATTACACTCGTCGTTATTGTAAAATTGAATTTATCTTAAGCTTTAATTGAGCTTGTCTCACTATTTTCAAACAGATTGAAAGTGGAGTTTTCTCCTCCATATATATATATACTTGTACATGGAGAAAATCACTTTTGATTATATTACTCTAAATAAACGCGAGTTGGACGCGGAGCGGCAGTTGAAAGAGAAGAGGGACGGACAACTTTTAAAAGAGAAAAATGCTAGTTTAAGACCTTGAGTTATTCATATATTGTGATTATTTCATCAACCACATTAATTTATTTTTTTTGTATATCTTATTCGTATATTAAACTTTTAAGTGTTCACAAATGGCATAACTTGTGCCACTGACTTTATGTTTAGAGACGTAATTTTAACTTGTATTTTGAACTTAATTTTTTTTTCCCTTCGGACGTTACATGTGCTAATGCACTTGTGCCTTTGAGCATATATTTTGCCTTGGTATAATATGTAGACGTAATATATAAATATGTTATTTTTACTTGATCTTATTTATATTTATATCCTTCAGTTTTGGATGTGCACAAATAAATATTTAAATTTGTATAAAATTGAATAAATAGACACACACACATTCTACGTGGCATCCTATATAGCCATCTGAGTCTTACATGTATTATGTCGTGTAAGACTCATGTGTCTACTTGTTCAATTTTATATAAGTTTAAATACCTACTTGTGCACACTCAACGCTGAAGGGGAAAAAAAATGTTTAAGGCATAATAACATGAATATGCCCTTCAACTGACATTTACGCCCTCCAAAATGTGCACAAATGGACACTTAACAATTAAAAAGTTAAATAAGTAAGCCCAATTACTTAAGTCAAATGACTTCCTTATCACAGGGAATCAGTATTTTTTGGAAATGTCTTGTTGTTCCTTAATGTTGCAATGATTGTTTGTATTTCTTGACCTTTCTGGAGATTCATATGTGGTTGAGCGATGACAATATGAGAAGAAAAAGTGTAGCTTCTGTTTTCCGTATAACATTTAGAGGTTTTCGTGTAAGCAAGCAACCTATTCTATTGAAAATGCAATAAGTCCGCTAAACAAGTATTTGAGCATCTGTTCTTCGTATTGTTTACTACCCCTCTCTAGTTATTTCAAATGCACGTTTCTATCATTTTTAATGGCCAGTGTGGGCCTTGAAAATTGTGTTGCATGTTTTGTACCTCATTGCATCTGTTCAATTTTCTTTCCTTTTTTCCAATTCAACTTCAGATTTCCTCTCTCCTAAGCTATAATTATGTACAACACCTTTTAGGACATTCACTAAGACCATGAGTGAGAGTGACCAAATGAGGAAAGCTTGGCACAGGATCTAAAGACTGCTATTAAAGAGGAGAACTACGAGCAGCAAAGATTAGGGAGAAGGATAGTAAGGCCTCTGTACTAGTGCCCGCTATTAAAACTCTTTCAGACATGGAAACTTAGTTGCAATGCAAACCCTTTGGTCAAAAGGTTTGTGTCGTGCACCCTGGTGTTAGCGGCATAACTAGGTATGGGGAGCTGGGCAGAATACGATTTCCCACTTGATATCGAGATCACATGCATTGAGATGGTCAAAACTAAAGGCAGCAGCTGGGGAAAACAAAAGACCTACGAGCGTGTTGGTTCTAGGAGTTGAGCCCATTGACATGGACGTGCATGATGCTTACTTTGTTCCTTGCTTGCCAGCATTCCCACTTTTCTTTTTTCTACTTTACTCAATTTAAATATATATTCCTCGTTCTTACTTATATGTTATCATAATTAAATTAATGATTGAATATCTATTAATCATATATTCTTTTTGGTCAAATTCGTGTTTTTAAGGTTAATACTTCTCCATTCATGCATTTTTAAACGTCACGTTCTGCTTTTCAAAATTAAATTTGACTAATTTATAAAGTTAAATTAAATTATATTAGTTCGATATTTTATTCAAAAAGTTTAGATATCCAAAAACTATATGAAAAGTATTAGAAATTGCAGTTTTTTGCATATCAAGATATGATGAAAAAATTTAAAATAAAACGTTAGTCAAATTCTTATACTTTGACTCTAAAAAAAACCTTGGCAATTGAAAGTGGACGGAGGAGTAACTCTCAAAGGGTAAAATAGAAAAAATAGTGCTATTTATGTATTGATTTTATAAGAGCAAATATTTAAAAGGAAAACTTTCACATATAACCACTTAAAAATAATTAATTACTCTCTATAGCTATAGTTTGATAATTCCAATTTGTAGCTACATGTTATTTCGAGGAGAGAGGCGAGCAGACTGGGAGAGAGGAGAGAGGCGAGAGAGAGGGGGAGAAGAGTGGGAGAAAGGTGAATTGTATATGTATATTGGTTAGATAATTGTATATTAAACATATGTAATTGTATAAATGGCAAGATAGATTGGGAGAGGGAGGAGAGAGGCGAGAGAGACTGGGAGACAGAGGAGAGAGGCGAGCAAGATCGATAGAGGTGACCGAGATATGGAAGAGAGTGAGAGAGAAGTGAATTGTATATGTAGATAATTGTATATAACTGTATATTATACATATACATTTGTATAAATGGAAAGCGAGATTGGGAGAGGTAGGAGAGAGGCGAGCGAGATTGAGAGAGGGAGGAGAGAGGGCAGAGAGTGGGAGAGAGGTTAATTGTATATGTATATAGGCTAAAATATTGTATATTATACATATTTATTTGTATATCCTGGTGAATTATACATATACAAACATGACTAATTATACAAATCGAAGTCAGCTAGCGTAATTAATGTATAATGTTAGTTGCGAATGGTATTATAACAAACTATAGCTATGATGAGTAATTAAATAGTATAAGTTTGCTTATCCTTGTAATTTTTCCTATTTAAAAACATCTATTTTTATTAAAAATGGCATGTTAGTAGAAGGAGTCGACAACACAAAAATTAAAACGAAAGGAGTACTTAATTACTAATATGGTCCTATTTTTTGACTTCTTTTTCTATATTACTCGATTCATATTCAAATACATATTTAATTACCAGTAGTATAAAATAATGACATTTTTAAATATTTACACTACACTCGTTTAGTCGTTTATTTATTCGTCAAAAATTTATACTACATCAAAATAACTTATCAAAGAGAAACAGTAAAGAAATTAAAATGACTTTAATATCAATTAATTAAAACGACAATAGCTTAATTGCTATTAATATATTTATTTAGAGGTAATTGATATCTTTTTTAAAGTTCTCTGAAACCTAGAATAATATTAAATTTAATGACAATAAACTAATACCAATAATATTTTAACACTCTTTATTATTATTTATATTTATTATCACCAAAAATTATTTTTATTATAATGAAATATGATTTATTAAAGTAAAATACATGTTAATTAATCATATGATTAAGTAAAATAAAAGTTCATAGTCAACAATATAACATGCATACCAAAGATGTTTGTAGTAAAATAAATTATTTTATTTTAAACCATAACTTTTTTTTGCTCTTTTTTAAGTTTGTACACAATCAAAGTGAAACAATACATATATATGTATGTATATCAGAGGTCGAGCTAAAATTAGGAGTTTGAGGATTTCAAATTGATTTGTTTGTGATTTCACATGTTAATATATATATAAAAAATTTAAATCTACGAAAAAAGCTAATGAATTTATCTGAACCTATAAACCCACCTAACTCCGCCACTAATGTATATATATTCAACATGAAGATTTCATTTTCAATTGGATGAAGAAGGAGAAGTGATTTGTGATGTTACGTGGTAACGCGGAATCTACAAAAGGCAAAGTTATAATAGAGGTAAGTTTTCTTTTTCACATTCCATTAATTTGTATCTAAGAATAAAAGGTGGTTCATGCATATAAATTAACAACAGGGAGAAACCTCCAATTATGCGAATATTTTAAAATGATTTGATAGCTACATGTCACATTAATCCAAAGCATTTGTTCTCTTTCATTTTTCCCTTGTTATTTATTTTAATTTTTATATGGTTATGACATGCACAATTATTACACTTACATTATCAACGTAGTTTATTTTTGAGTTAATGGTAAAAGAAAAATATTTAAATTCTAATTTATTTATTTATTTATATAAGTTTTATCTTTTAATTATTCATTGTTTTGTTTACCTATTTAAAGTATTATTACTTTTTTTTATAAGTTTCATATCTCAACTATCACTTCCTTTGTATTAACACTCATATTTTGATGCTTAGTTAACCTACCCACCCCGTTGATGATTTTAAGAACAAATATTTGATAAACTCAGCACTGAGGTTTGTTTTAATACAAAGGGAGCAACAGTTACGGTATGTAAAAAGAACAATAGATAGTTAAAGTTTGAAAAGAAAAACATGATAATTTGATATGTTATTTTTTAGCTAATTAAGTATTGTCTGGTCCCAATTTTTATGGCATAGTTCAATTATCAAAATTCAAACAGTTAAATTTTGACAATAAATTTAGACATGAGATATATAAATTTTTAAAATAAAACTTATACATTTATAAATTACCTAAAAGGTATTACAAATATCATAAATCATTTGACGATTCAAAACTTCTTTTAAATCCTAAAATTCAAAAAGTATCACCTAAGAAAGAAAACAAATGTTTTACACATGGTCAATACGTAGTTTCTATATATTCCATCCTTTTATTATATCTTCTCAAATACACGTCAAAGAAGATTCCATTTCTCAAAACTCCTCCCTATAAATACATACCCCACTCCTCAACACTCTAAATAAGCAAGCAACTCATTGCATCACATTTGATTTTCTCTCTAAAATATTTATCTTATTCTAAATCAAATTAAGTGTACTACAAAAGAAAAATGTCTTTAGTACCTCTATTTAACGGTCGCAAAAACCATTCACGGTGCGTACAAAATTCTCCGCCAACAACAACAATTACACCTCAATCCCAAAAGAATCATAATCGTTCTGATTCTTACGATCCAACAACAACAATAATGCATCAATATAAACCAAATCGAGGTAATGAGAAAGATCTTTATAATTATCCACCACCAACAAGAAATCAAGATCTACACAATCTTTTTAATCAACTAGCAACAACAAAATTCACACATCAATTCCAAACAAGTCGAGGTCAGAAGGATCCTTATGATCCCTCTCATAAATTTTATCTCGAAACCCCTCGATCTCTCATAGCACCATCACTATCATTTCCACATGTTACTCCATTTTTAGCTCAATTTGAGTGTAATGTAACCCCAGAGGCATATGTTTTTAGAGCCAATAATTTGCATGGATATAAGAAAGAAGAAGTGAAGGTACAAGTAGAAGATGATAGAATCTTAAAGATTAGTGGGGAGAAAAAAATAGTAGAAAAAGAATATGACAATTGGCATCATTTTCAGAAAAAAGTTGGCAAGTTTTCAACTGTTTTTAATTTGCCTGAGGATGCTGGGGTTGATAAAGTGATATCAACAATGGAGAAGGAAGTGCTTATTGTCACTATTCCTAAGAAGGGAGCGGTCAAGAAATCACACGTTAGAACAGTTCGAATATTCTAATATAGATATATTTATATTTCGTGTCAAGAGGGTATACATCACTTTTTATTTATATAAGACTAAAATAAGGAGGAAGTGCAAGGTTAATGGAGTCGATATTTTAGTATGCTTGTGTAAAAATAAAAGAAAGTGCAAGGTTGTGATATTTTATTTATATAGGACTTGGACTGATCTATATTCTCCAACCTTTTTCGATTACTCTTGCCAGCGCATTTCAAGTAGTAATAAGTTTGAATTCATGATTGAGAAAAAAATCTTTCAAGCATTTTAGCTGAATCTATTATAGGGTAGGCTCTTTGGATATATTGTCTCAAGGCGATGAAAGTTCACATATTTTGAATTTCTTTGACTTCAATTTAATCTAGTACAAAGTCAGTAGAACTAGGGCTTTCGAGTTGAAATTTCCAACTATAAACAACTGTAGCGAAATCACCACCATACTCGATTTCTATTGCGACAATGGGAGATATCGTAAGAGAGTCAACATCATGATTAGAGTCAATTCGGATAACAGGAAGAATTCAATCACCTTCTTCCTGATCTTATTGGCCCTACAACGGGTCTAATTAAGAGCAGGAAAGTTTCAACTCTCCAATTTTCCAGCGTGAGAGGTGAACTTATCATTTATTGCTCCTTTCGAATTAGTTGAAAAAGTATTCTAATGTCACTTAGGAAAAGTATATAGGGAAGTATGCCTGAGTCTTCTATAATAAGTAGTTGGAATTCGGTCTAGCTAGGATAGAGCCATCCTAAAGAGACTTTCTTCTATTCTAGGTTTTCACAAAGCAGTATTAGGAGAACACATTTCTCCTATATATAATCAAGTCTTTGATTTAAATCAATCAATCCTCAATCTGGACTCAATGACCGGAATGAATGACTTTCTTCTATCTCCTTATGGATCCAACTATTAGGTTCGTGGGTTTGTGGTTTCACTCCAAACTTCATACATAGAGCAAGACAATTAATCATGCAAAATACTGAAAATATTAATGTATTTTTCTGATGTTATTATATTGGGTTTAATTAAATTTGATTTCGCGTTAGAAAATTTCAAATTAAAAGTAAAACATTCACTAACAAATGACTACATATATAAGAGTATTTATTACTCGACAACAACTTTTATATTTTTTTTCATTTTGCCTAATTCATGAAGTTCAAAATAAAACATTTTGAACATATATATATCGAAATGAAAACCTCATAGAGTACGAGAATCAAAATTACAAATCATAACAAATATCGGGATCTTCCAGGCCGTTGTACATATAAACATCAAGAAGTACATGATCAGATATAGTCTATAGTGCAAGAATAGAATGACGTTAATTTAGTGTCTGGTTAAGTGTGGAACAAGTTACCAAAGTAAAGATATTCCCTAAATCTAAACATTCTGCCAAATATTATTATTCTAGAAGGTTTTATTACATTAATAAGGTAATTCAGTAAATATTAATTATTTTTATCCTATTTATATTAGTATATATAATATTCTAACAAATTAAATACTCGTTGAACCAGGTATCTTCGGCCCCTAGGCTTGTATAAGAATAAATAATATAATACACTCGGATCAAATACTTCATACATTTATTATTAATTATTCAATCTAAATTTTGCACGGGCTTTAAAATATGTTTAATTTTTTGGATATAAATTTAATGATTAAGTAATTAATATTTAAAACAAAATATGAAGAAAAAGATCTTTAAATACACTTTTAATATAGTGAATACGTAAAATAAATTACAAGCATAATAATTAATTAAAATAAAAGTGTACTGTTATAAAGTATTTATATTATAGTGAATGTCTATCATGTGAAGTCCTTTTATGATATGGTTAAAAGTCTTATTTAGGGACCAAGTTAGATTTTCCCTATAAATAGAGGCTCCTCTTCATTAATAATAACTCTTCTCTTCTCTCTAATTTCTTCTTCTTATTTACGCTTCGGGGCTCGTTTGACCTTGAAAATGGGTCGGAATGGCCGTAAGGGCCAACCGGATGCAGAGCCAAGGTCTTGACGGACGTCCACAAAAAAAATTGGCATTTTTGACGTTGAAATCCGGATCACCCAAAAAATGGTTTGCTATAGCACACGAAAATCGCAAAATGATAGGTATGCGCTTCGGGGCTCATTTGACCTTGAAAATGGGTCGGAATGCCGATGAGGGCCAACCAGATGCATAGCCAAGGTCTTGACGGACATCCACAATTTTTTTTGACATTTTTGACATCGCAATTCGGATCATCCAAAAAATGGTTTGATATAGCACACGAAAATCGTCGAAATGGGAAGTATGCGCGCTTCGGGGCTCGTTTGACCTTAGAATAGGTGGGAATAGCCGTGAGGGACAACCGAATGCATAGCCAAGGTCTTGACGGATGTCCACAAATCATTTTTGATGTCGTAATTCAGATCACCTGAAAAATGGTTTGCTATGGCACACGAAAATTATCGAAATGGGGGGTATGCGTGCTTCGGGGCTTTTTTGACCTTGAATATGGGTCGGAATGGTCATGAGGGTCAACCAGATGCATAGCCAAGGACTTGACGGATGTCCACAAAAACTTTTGGCATTTTTGACGTCGAAATTCGGATCACCCGAAAAATGGTTTGCTATAGCACATGAAAATTGTCGAAATGGAGGGTATGCGCGCTTC